TTCTCTTGTGTCAACTACATTTACAAAACACTGTTCTTAAATGCAAACCATGCTCTGAAACTCTCCCTGGACAGATGTAATAGGACCCATTATCACCACACCAGAAATAAATATCTCTTTGATATCCCCAGGGTCAAACTTAATCTGTGTAAACACTCTGCAAATTAAGGGACCTAGTCTATGGAACTCACTCCCTAGTGAATTGAAAAACTGTAAAACTTTTGCCTTACTTAAAAGCAAAACCAAAAAGTACCTAACTTCATCTTCTTAGTTTCCTACACTGAGCTTTAAATTTGCTCTGTACCTAGTGTTACCCAATCTCCTAATTTTTATGTAATATCAAACAACCTTATCATTGTGTTCATTGCTGTCTTCTTTTATGTGCTAGCCATATGCTGTATTGTGACTACCAATTTTTGTCAACTACCATTCAAGCTGTCATTGCAATCAATTTTATATTGTTTCTGCTGTATTGTGCCTACCAATTTGTTGTCAACTACCATTCAAGCTGTCATTGCAATCAATCTTAGCTACCTATGTGCTTTAATATACTGTACCTACAATTTTCTCTCATCTTCTTTTTTTTCATTTCATGTAATCTGTTATCATTTTTTGTCTATAAATTTTGCAAGTATTTACCTCCTTACAATTTTCTTAGATTAAGGACCTGCCCGAAACGCTGCGCGTGCTAGTGGCTTTACAAGACTGTAATTACCATATTTGTATCCTCACATTCCTTATGTACATTCTTGTATATGCATAAATAAAAAAATAAAAAAAAATAAATTTAGCTCAGTATTTACTGTGGCATTTAGAGCAAGGGGGTCAGGACTGGAGTAAATGAAGGTTGTGTCGTCAGCAAATAGAATTGGTTTGAGGTGTTGGGAGGCATTTGGAAGGTCATTAATGTAGATGAGAAAGAGGAGAGGGCCAAGTATGCTGCCCTGAGGAACACCAATGTTGATGGGTAGGGTGGGAGAAATTGTATTATTCACAGAAACATATTGGAGCCTGTCAGTAAGGTAGGATTTGAGGTATTGTAGGGAGTGTCCTCTGACTCCATAATGATGTAATTTAAGAAGAAGGTTTTGGTGGTTGACAGTATCAAAAGCTTTACGCAGGTCCACACTTAACTCAACAGGGAACTCCTTTTTATCAAGAGCTGTATGAATCGAGTTAAGCATACTAATAAGTGCATCGTTAGTGCTTTTTTTTGGGTCTGAAGCCATATTGGCAAGGGCTAAGTATATTGAGTTTGGCTAGATATGAGTAAAGCTGCTTATAGATTAGTTTTTCAAAAATTTTTGACAAGTTTGGCAGGATTGATATAGGTCTGTAGTTGTTAACATCTGTGAGATCACCACATTTGCCCGAAACGCTGCGAGTGGCTTTACAAGACTGTAATTACGTTATCCTCACATCCTTATGTACATTCTTGCATATAAATAAATAAAAATAAATAAATAAGGTTGTGTCGTCAGCAAATAGAATAAATAAATAAATAAGGAACACCGATGTTGATGGGTAAAATAAATAAATAAATATGGAGCCTGTCAGTACATGGAAAGGTTTGGAGTTCAAGTGACTTTAAATAAATAAATAAATATAATAAATAAATAAATAAATAAATAAACATTTGTTGAAGAGCAAAGCAATAGCAGGGGCTAAAGATCTGTAGGCTTTTTTGTAAATTAAAGTTGGTATCTCCTCAAGGGCACCAGACTTGGTTTTAAGGGAAAGGATTATCTCATTGACGTCAGTGGAATTAATAGGCTTTAGGTACAGAGACTGTGGATAGTTACCTGTAAGATAGTCCTTAACATCAGTACTGGAAGATAGAATATCATTTGCAAGGGATGAACCAATGGAAGAGAAGAACCTATTGAACTCAATAGCAGAATCAGAGGCTGAAAGCTGACCATCGTTATTAGACAGGAGTAGTCGGTTTATTTAAAGATTTCTTTGATCCCAATATTTGTGAAATTGTGCTCCAAGTTTGTTTAATGTTGCTCTTTATTTGGGTAACTAACTAAAATAAATAAAATAAAATTTTATTTAGGTAAGGTACATACATATCTTAGATTTTTACAAAATGAGTGTTTCTTTATAGAAGAGCTAGTACATACAATGCCTAAAGCCACTATTACGCAAAGCGTTTCGGGCATTAATGGACTTAAATGACCTTTGTAAGCTCAGGGATAATTGAGCCTTTTGAGTAGTGAAAACTTGTTTTGAAAACATAGGAAAAAGCAGCACAAATACAATTATGGACTAACAGTTTTTTGAAAAAAAAAAAAAAAAATATACATAGGTTGACAATAGTCCTCTATGGTACCTTACAGGGAATCCCATTAGGTATAGCTTCGTTTTTAACTTAAACTGGTTGAGAGAGGTACAGTCTTTAACATGGTTGGGAAGGTCATTCCACATTCTGGGCCCCTTGATTTGTAGAGCATTTCTAGTTTGATTAAGTCGTACTCTAGGAATATCAAAACTGTATTTATTTCTGGTGTGGTGCTCATGGGTTCTGTTACAACCTTCTATGAAGCTTTTGAGGTCAGGATTGGCATTATAGTTTAGCGTTTTATATATGTATAATACACATGAGAGAATGTGCAGTGACTTAATGTCTAACATATTCAGAGATTTGAGTAGGGGTACCGAGTGATGTCTGGGGCCAGAGTTGGATATTGTCCTAATAGCAGCTTTGTGTTGAGTAATTAGAGGACGTAAGTGATTTTGGGTAGTAGAGCCCCAAGCACAAATACCATAGTTGAGATATGGATAGATAAGGGAGTAATAGAGAGTCACCAGGGCAGGGCGTGGTACATAATATCTGATCTTAGAAAGAATGCCCACAGTTTTTGAAACTTTTTTTGATATATTTAGAATGTGTCCCTGGAAATTCAGCTTGTGGTCAATGAGAATGCCAAGGAATTTGCCATCTAATTTGTTACAAATTTGGGTATTGTTTATTTTGAGATTTATTTGATTAGAGGATTTATTGCCAAACAGAATATAGAAAGTTTTGTCAATGTTAAGGGTGAGTTTGTTGGCAGTTAGCCAAAGATGGACTTTATTTAGCTCAGTATTTACTGTGGCATTTAGAGCAAGGGGGTCAGGACTGGAGTAAATGAAGGTTGTGTCGTCAGCAAATAGAATTGGTTTGAGGTGTTGGGAGGCATTTGGAAGGTCATTAATGTAGATGAGAAAGAGGAGAGGGCCAAGTATGCTGCCCTGAGGAACACCAATGTTGATGGGTAGGGTGGGAGAAATTGAATTATTCACAGAAACATATTGGAGCCTGTCAGTAAGGTAGGATTTGAGGTATTGCAGGGAGTGTCCTCTGACTCCATAATGATGTAATTTAAGAAGAAGGTTTTGGTGGTTGACAGTGTCAAAAGCCTTATGCAGGTCCACAAATAACCCAACAGGGAACTCATTTTTATCAAGAGCTGCATGAATCAAGTTAATCATACTAATAAGTGCATCGTTAGTGCTTTTTTTGGGTCTGAAGCCATATTGGCAAGAGCTAAGTATATTGTGTTTGGCTAGATAAGAGTAAAGCTGCTTGTAGATTAGTTTTTCAAATATTTTTGACAAGTTAGGCAGGATTGATATAGGTCTGTAGTTGTTAACATCTGTGAGATCACCACATTTGTGGACAGGGGTTACTCTCGCTTTTTTTTTTTGAATATCTGGAAAGGTTTGGAGTTCAAGTGACTTGTTGAAGAGCAATGCAATAGCAGGGGCTAAAGATCTGGAGGCTTTTTTGTAAATTAAAGTTGGTATCTCCTCAAGGGCACTAGACTTGGTTTTAAGGGAAAGGATTATCTCATTGACGTCAGTGGAATTAATAGGCTTTAGGTACAGAGACTGTGGATAGTTACCTGTAAGATAGTCCTTAACATCAGTACTGGAAGATGGAATATCATTTACAAGGGATGACCAAATGGAAGAGAAGAACCTATTGAACTCTATAGCAGAATCAGAGGCTGAAAGCCGACCATCGTTATTGGACAGGAGTATTGGTTTGTTATCTAAAATCTTCTTTGACCCCAATATTTGTGAAATTGTGCTCCAAGTTTTTTTAATGTTGCTCTTTATTTGGGTAAATTTATCTTGGTATTTAGTTTTGGCTCGTCTATTTTAGATGGCAATAACGAGTAATTCTTTGAGAATTCTTTGGAGACGGTTCCTAACCTATACTTCTTCTCAAGGTCATGTTTTTTATTAATGGATTTAAGTATTCCCTTTGTAAGCCAAGGATTGTTTAGCCTTTTGGTTGTGACTTATTTCGTTAGCATAGGACAGTGGGTGTTATAAAGGCTGAGTTTTTTGAAGAAAAGATTGCACTGCTAGGTTGATGTCCCCTATGTTACCTAACTCTGACTCCCCGTTGACATTAGCAGCAGTAGTTATAAAATTGCCTATAGCTTAACTCCCTTGTCTCTAGAGGTGGTGTGTTCATGTTAGTTAAGAGAAATGTGGGGTAATGGTCTGTAGTGCTATCGGTGATTATACCCGAAGTAAACGGAGAGGTTATGTTGGTCCAGATGTGATCTACAGTCGTGGCAGTACTATCAGTGATTCTAGTAGGTCTAGTGATTAAGGGTATGAGGAAGCAGGAATTCATACAGTTGAGGAAGCTAACAGAAGTAGGGTGTTCTTTAATTTATATTTATTCTTCCTATGATACAAATTTATTTTATTTAGTTTATTATAACTTTACATATTTTACTTTATCCAGCTTTAATAAAATATTCCCTTACCAGAGTTTCAATCTGCCTCCCCCAAAATGAACGAGTTTGGTTGGATATAAAGAGGAGCTGCTGTTGACCAGACCACACACTAGAAGGTGAAGGGACGACGACGTTTCGGTCCGTCCTGGACCATTCAGTTGGTCTTCCAAAATATAATCTTTATTCCTGCCTCTAAACTAAACAGACGCCGTCTTGTTGAATCTGCTCTAATACACAACGTACCCAAAATTTGCTCTAGTCCTGGCTTTGTTGCCGTTTACTCTTCCCTTTCACAGTATATACTCAAATGCTTTAATCTTTTGTTAGAAAGATTAGAGCATATACACTGAAAGGGAAGAGTCAACAGCAACAAAGCCAGGACTAGTTCATTTTGAGTAGGTTGTGTATTAGAGCAGGTCCAACAAGAAGGCGTCTGTTTAGTGTTGAGGCAGGAAAGATTATTTTATTTTGGAAGAAGACCAATTGAGAATGATCCAGGACGGACCGAAACGTCGTCGTCCCTTCACCTTGTGTGTGATCTGGTCAACATACTTCAGCCACGCTCATATGATCAGTCATATTTACCACATTTGCTATAAAAATCATCTGTAGAGAGAATGACCAGTCGCGCCCTTCAGTTCTTCGGCCAATGTTGATTTTCCAGAGCCTGGCAGTCCTGATAATCAGTTTTACGCCCAGAGAGACCGTGTTTAAAGTTTCATTTTTTTATTCAGCGTAATTTTTTGTTTAATTTTAGAAGATATCTGGGAGGTTTGGACTGCGTTGGAGCTCATTCCTGAATGCCAGAGGTAATTGTTGTTCACTGAAGCATTTTGATTAAAACCTATGGGTATTAATTCTGGTGTTAAACACTCAGAAGTATCATGCTCTCTATTAACTTTAAAATCAGACTCAAATGCAGATCTGTGGGGAGAAAGATAGTTTGAAGATGACCCACTATACATTCCTCCAAGGCTGTTCTGTGACGATGCAGATTCTGCTTCATTTCTTGACTTGTAAGTTGTTGTACTAACATATGCTCCCATATTAATATTGGCACTTTCACTGCTTACACGAGGCACTGTGCCAGTGGCCAAAGATTCCGGTAAAATGTTAATCTCACTTTTTGTGCTTTTCTGACTTACAGGTTTATTGTATATATTAAAAGATTCACTGTTCAGCTGTTCAAAATTAGCATTTGATCTTCCTGATGAACCCGTTTGATAATCACGGCTACCGTCCACAGGTAACGCATCACTTTGCGTTGGAGAGTTACGAAGGATAGAGTCCGCATCCTGCACACTAGAAAGCCGGTTTCCAACGTCTGGCATTACTAGTAACATCTCCCTCGCACTGCTGGCTTCCCATTCACACGATTCAATTATCTTAACTTCTTGCTCACTGTGGTTCTGCGACGCCATGACTCTTGCCATCTCACTTCTCAAGGCTGAGGAACCTGAACAAACCCGACGAAGTGCGTCTGTCTTCTTCACCAGTACCACTGCTTGCTCGTGTTCTCACACTACCTCTCACCTTCAGCCTGGTAAAATAGTTGAACATTTAAATTACTCTTCTTGAATTTTTTTAAAGTAATATATTCGTGACCAGTATCAGTTTTGACCAAAGAGCCAGAGCTCAACCCTTGCAAGCACAATTAGGCGAGTAGACGAGTATATAAACAAACTCGAGGGGATAGGGGGGGGGGAATCCATATACAGCTTTCCTCGTGAAGTGTGGCGATTATAGTAATAAAATTAGTATTTTCATCACCGACAGTCTACTCTATATACATCTTAATGTTACCCTACTCTTTATCCATCACCTATTAATATCCGTGCCTTTTACACCCTACTCAGCTCGTCCTAAAATACAAAGGCCATTTTTTTCCCCATGCTACTGCCGAACCGTGTTTGGCACAACCATCTATAATAACTGAATAGGGTCGAATTGTGAATCATTCTGTCTCCATTCACCGTAAACTATCATACAATAGTCAGACCAGTTTCACAACCAGCTATTAATAAATATAAGCATTTTCAACTATTACCTCAATGATAGGCCCCAGTATGTTTATGTGAAGGATGCCACTTCTCCCACACTGCCAATTAACAGGTGTTCCACGGGGTAGTATTGTTGGTCCATTTATCTTATTTACATCAATGACATTCCAAATGCTACTCAAAACCTGAAGCCTTTTGCTAATGACCTTAATTTTTTCCAATGCAAACCAGTTTTTTATAATTGTCAGTTTAGAACAAGAATTCGCACAATTCGTTAGAAATTGAGAGACGAGGGCAAAGAGAAACTATAAAGTTCGTATAGCAGGCCAAGCAAAGGCAAATCCTAAATTTTTTTTCAGTTACATCGAACAAAGGTTAGGGAAAGGATAGGTCCATTAAAAACAGAGGTCAGAACGGATAATGAAGAGACGAGTAGTATTTAATAAATATTTTATATCTGTATTTACTAAAGAGGAACTTTACAATATGCCTTCAGTCGAACAAGTCTATGTGGGTGGGGACGAGGACAGGTTGACTAGTTTAGCAGTTACCAGGGAGGATGTAATTAAATAGTAAAACTCAAACCAAACAAATCCCCAGGGATGGATGAAGCGTTTGCTAGGGTGCTTAAAGAATGCAAAGAGGAGCTTTGCGAGCCACTGTACCATATTTATATCAATAGTCGGGCAGAGGGGAGTGTTCGCCTAGCTCTGGGCGGAGGTGGACGTGTCGCTTGTGAGCTCCTGGTTTGCTGACCCGTGGTAGTTTGTGTGTGTGTGAGCGGACCCTTGGGGCCGTGGCGGCTGGAGGGATGGCGAGGGATCCCTCCCCTTCCCCCGTGTGAAGCGGAGGGATACCATTGGCCTAGAATTTACTGGCCCAGCGTCTTACCCGGCAGTTGTGGTGGTGGTGATCGACATGTTGCGGGTGGAGCTTGGCGTCTGTATGCGGCGTTCAACTTTTATCCTGGCATCGAGCTGTTGTGAAGTTCTGCTCTACGGCTGTGTATCGTGACTTTGTGGACCGCTATGACGGGAAGACATTTACTCTGCCTGAGGATGGTGGTTCGGTGAAATTGTCGGGCAGGTGCAGTGAGACTACCTATGTGGCAGTTCAAGGTGCTCCCTTCGAGTCCCCCGACTCTTCTCCAGCGTCATTTTACCGGTATGGGCGGGTCTTTAGTGTCCGGATGAATGCAGTCTCCTCCAGGCGGTGGAAGGGTATCCGGAATGGGACCCGCACTGTGGTGCTGCGCTTTAAGTACTCCATCCCTTCGTCTCTCCAGCTTCTGGGCTTCATGGTACGCGTGTTCTATGGGGGTCAGCCCCGGACGTGTTTCCGGTGCGGACTCTCGGGCCATCAGACTGCGGGATATGATGCGAGCCGGGTCGGGCCTGTGAACCTCTTCAGGGAGGAGGACTTTTCCCCGTTGGCGGTCCCGGACCTGTCGGAGGGTGCTGCTGTGATGAGTGATACTTCCCAGTCGTCTGGTGCCCCGTTGTCGATCTCTGATGCCAGCCTCGATGTGGCTGTGGGTGTCTGAGTGGAAGGTAGTGCCTCCCCCGCCTGCCTGCCTGCCTGCCTCGTCTCCAGTTGTGTCTCCTGTGGTGTGTGGTCTCGTGACTCCGGACGTCGAGGCTGCGCCTCTGCCGTCTCCGGCAGCTGTCTTCGACCCGTGTCGACGTGCACACTGATGTCTCCTGCGGTGTGTGGTCCTGTTCCCCGGGTTGTTGAGGCTGCGATGTTTAGTGATCGTGCGCTGCGGGGAGTTGCGCGAACAACCAGCGGTTCTGCTACGGTGCTTCCTGGTGGGGGTGATAGTTCCTACGATCTGCGACCTGTGTCAAAGCGTTCGCGGCGAGCTTTGAGTCTGTCTCCGCCTCGTGATGAGGCCTGGGCCGACGTCAGGGAATTTGAGGACTCCGGAAGTTCGTCTTCTGTGGATGGTGATGTGTGCGCCGCTGTTTGAGTGCCTGCGGCTCTTGTGGGCCGTGTTGCAGCGGTGATGGGTCCTGTGGTGGGATTGTCGCCTGGCCCTGGTCCAGTGTCTTCTCGGGCTGCCTCCGCGTCACCGGTTGCTGGTTCCCAGAGTTGGGAGGTTGTGGCACCGGCCGAGATTGCGGGAGGGGACTTTGTGCTGGTTCTTAAAAATGCTTCTGTTCCAGCGGCCTCCGTGCCTCTGGCGCCCATGTCTGTGCCTTCCGCGCTTTTGCCCTCTGCTCAGCCGTCCTTTGTTACTCCGCCCCCCCCCCCCTGTGGGGTCGGCTCCTGTACCATCGCCCTCTGATTTGCGTCCCCTGCGACTCCGCCCGCTATGTTGCCGGCCTGTGTCCGGCCGACTCCTGTGCTTCAGTCCCGTGTGGTTCCACCATCTGTATCAAAGCCCTCTGTGCGGCCTCTTCCCGTGCCTACCGCCCCCCGTGGTGGAGGGCGCAGAGCTGGATGTTCGCGACTTCATCCATCGACCGCGAGGATCACGTAGTCACGTTAACGCGCCTATGGAATTGTGGGTACAGTGGGATGCCTACAGGAAGAAGTAGGCGTGTCGTTTCTATCCGGATAAATATGAAGACGATTGTGTGTGATTCTTGCTTTGTGTTGCTTTATTTGTTTTGATGAGCTATGTGATACGGGTTATTTTTTTTTCCCGTTTCTTACCTAGTTATTGCTGGGTTATAATGCTCGTGTTTTTTACCGTTTCATTGTTACTCGTGTTTAAGATTCCATTGCGTTTTGTATGAATTTTGTGTTTTCCTGTTCTACTGTTTGACGGTGTGTTTCTGCTTTGTACATGTGAATGATGCTGTTTATTTTCTGTTTTGTTGTATTTGGGTTTCCCAAATAAAAAAATAGTCAGGCAGTGCTAGAGTCATGAAAGGTTGCTAATGTGGTACCAATTAAGAAAGATAGATCACTTGCGTCAAACCATCGGCCAATTAGCCTAACGTCTATTGTGGTAAAGTTACTCTACTCGATAATTCGAAATTCAATTAGTCTTCATCTTTAAAAACATTAATAAAATCAGTCGCAACATGGTTTTACAAATAACCGTTCATGTTTAACAAATTTGCTATATTTTTATTCCAGCATAGTTGAGGCAGTTTATAGTGGTAAGGATTGTAATGTGTACCTTTACTTTAGCAAAGGTTTTGATACAGTGCCACATGAAAGTGATTAAAAAGATAGAGGCTCATGGTTTTGGGGGTGCTATATTAAGTTGGATTAGGGCATGGCTATACCGAAGGAAACAGTATAAATGGGGTTAAGTCAGAGCGTGAAAATGTAAGTGGAGTGCCTCAAGGCTCTGTCCTGGGACCTCTAGATAATATATATAAATGATTTAGATTCAGGTTTGAGTAGCAACATTTGCCGATACAAAAATCGGTAGGGAAATTAACACTGAAGACTCTCAATCACTTAAAGTTTATCTAAATAGGGCTTTGAAGTGGTCAAAAGATTGGCAGATGCAGTTTAATGCTGATGAATGTAAAGTTTTGAGGCTAGGTAATAAGTTATAAGATACGAGCTAGATAGTGTTGAGATTGTTAAGTCGGATTGCTAAAGGGATCTGGGAGTTATGATTAGTATAAATTTAAAACCAAAGGATCAATGCATTAAAGTTTATAATAAGGCAAATGGGACACTGCCATTTATTAATCTAAACGTCAGTAACAAGATACCCGTTCTTCAGCTATATCTTGCTCTGGTTAGGCCCCATTTAGATAAAGCAGTTTAGTTTTAGTCGCCGTACAATAGAATTTATATAAATTCAATTGAACGTATCCAGCGTAGGATGACAAAGTTAATTCCCCAAATTAGAAATCTTTCATATGAAGAAAGATCAACATTTTAAAGTGCATTGACTGGAAAGGTGAAGACTTAAGTGACATGGAGGTTTACAAGTGGACGAATGGACATAAAGGGGATATTAGTAGGATATAAAGTGTATCAACACAACACAAAACAATGGGTATAAATTGGACAAGTTCACATTTAGGAAAGACTGGTAAATACTAGTTCGGTAACAGAGTTGTTTATTCGTCGAACCAATTACCGCGTAACGTGGAAGTGGGGTCCCTTGATTGTTTCAAGCGTGGGTTGGATATGCATAAGAGTGGGATTGGGTGGTTATGAATAGGAGCTGCCTCGTATGGGCCAATAGGTCTTCTGCAGTTGCCTTTGTTCTTATGTTCAACAACAATAAGATTATGATTATGTTCAACATGTTATGTTCATAAGAACATAAGAATTATGTTCAACAACAACTATGCAAATAAAGGGACCCAGTTTATGGAACTGGCTTCCTACTGAATTGAAAAGCTGTCCAACTTTTACATCATTCAAAATCAATACTAAAAAGTACCTAATTTCATCTTCATAGTTTCACTTTTTGCCTTAAAATCGCACTGTATCTTTTGCTACCCAGTCTCCCAATCTTTATGTACCCAATCTAAACATCTTTACCATTGTGATCTTTGCTGTCAATCTGCTGTATGGTGTCTATTAATCTTTTTTAAATTACTAATTTTACCAGGGCTGTCAATGCAATCAGAGCTTTAATATAACAATGTGCTTTAATATACTTACTAAGCTCTCATCTCATTTTCTCTTGTAATGTATCTTTATCATTTATCAATTCTGATAGAAATTACCTACTTAAAATTATCTGCTAGATTAAGGACCTGCCCGAAACGCTGTGCGTACTAGTGGCTTTACAAGAATGTAAATACTGTACTATCCAATGTATTCTCACAAACCCAATGTACCTTCTTGTATATATATAAATTAAAATAAATAAATAAATAACATTTTCCCCCCACTCTGACTTTACCCCATTTACCGTTTCCTCTGGTATAGCCATGCCTTAATCCAACTTAATATAGCACCTCTAATACCATCAGCCTTTATCTTTTTTAATCAGTCTTTCATGTGGTACCGTATCAAAAGCTTTGCTAAAGTCAAGGTACACATCACAGTCTTTACCGTTATCAACTGCCTCAACTATGCTGGAATGAAAAGTTAGCCAATTTGTTAAACCATGAACGGCCATTTGTAAAACCATGTTGCAACTCATTAATTTATGTTTTTCCAAAAAGGAACTACAATGCAGGTTCAAGTAGTAGCTTAATTACAAGGGAGAGAGAGGGAGGGAGGGAGGGACGCCGAAGGAAAACAATCTACTTTAGAATGGTCCAGGACGGACCTAAACGTCGACTCCTCACGTTCTAGTGTGTGGTTTGGTAAACATTTCAGCCACGTTATTGTGTCTTCTGCAAAACAGGACAATTCACAAACCACTTAAACGTTTAAAATCTTTAAGGGCTCGGCACAGGTCCACTTGTTATTGTCAACCCACTTGGGTTAATCTTTATCTAAATCTACATCCTCCCCCCCCCCCAACCTTTCATTTACCTGAATATTAGCAATTTCCACCAATACCAGAATTGCTAAATGCCCTTTGCGTTTTTATTATTCGTTACAAACTTCACAAACCCTAATGACTGGATGAAGTATTTGTGCGACTCACTAACGATTCTGTGCAAGGTAAGGCGGTGAATCTAGAGCCGCCTGTACTTTCCTCAAGTAATCCTCCAGACAATGGCAGCAAGTACTCTGGAAATATCTCCAGAACGTTACTTGATGACGACGACGTCCCTTCCGCAGACTATCACGTCAACTAAGAGTTCTCCGTTACAGCTAGGTTCGTCTCCGCCGGGTAGTCAAGGTGTAGCGACAACTGGCCTGCACCATCTCGCCTCGCCTCGCCTCCCTCGGGGTGTCAGGTGACCTCAGGGTGTCACTATTGGTCGAACCGCGATCGCTGTTCACCAATCAGCCAGTAAGTACTACCATTTAACTCCGGTGTCGTTGGGTCGTTCACCGGCTCGTTCTCAGATCCTGTCCAGCCACACAAGATTTGTATCTGTAGTACGTGGGTAAAGCATTTACCAACCCGTCCTCGACTCAAGTCCATTACATCCAGCGGTCGCCCCCACAGACGCATTCATAAATTTTAACATGCTGTTCATTCAGAACAAGAATTTTTTCAAATATAAATTAATATTATAATATATTAGCATATTGTGCATATATAGGCATAGGTTAGGTTAGGTTAGGTGTTTAGGTTCGGTTGGCGATTATTTGCATTTGTAGTACGTGGGTGAAGCATTTATAGCGAAGTGGTTCGAACAAAACACGTCAGTGAAGCACTTGTTCCGGAAGTGTTCGAACGAAATCAGTTGTGAGTCGTGTGTAAACCGTTTTTCATTCATAAACAGGGGGTTTGGCGGGTGCATGGAATCACTTTTAGATCTTTGTTTGGAGGACGGGCTGCATTTACAGCGTTGTGGTCCGAACAAAATTCGTCAGTGAAGCACTTGTTCCTGAAGTGTTCGAATGAAATCAGTTGTGAGTCGTGTGTAAATCGTTTTTCATTCATAAACAGGGGGTTTGGCGGGTATATGGAATCACTTTTGGGTCTTTGTTAGGAGGACGGGTTCTCAAGTATAAATTAATATTATAATATATTGGCATATTGTGTATTTATAGGCATAGATTAGGTTAGGTCAGGTGTTTAGGTTCTGTTGGCGATTATTTGTATTTGTAGTACGTGGGTGAAGCATTTATAGCGTTGTGATTCGAACAAAATTCGTCAGTGAAGCACTTGTTCCGGATATGTTCGAACGTCAGCAGTTGTGAGTCGTGTGTAAACCACTTTTCATTTTTAAACAGGGTGTTTGGCGGGTGCATGGAATCACTTTTGGATCTTTGTTTGGAGGACGGGCTGCATTTACAGCGTTGTGGTTTGAGCAAAATTCGTCAGTGAAGCACTTGTTCCGGAAATGTTCGAACGTCATCAGTTGTGAGTCGTGTGTAAACCGTTGTTCATTCATAAACAGGGGGTTTGGCGGGTGCATGAAATCACTTTTGGGTTTTTGTTAGGAGGACGGGCTCCTTTGTTTAAAGGACGGGCTGTTCACAGCGTTGTAGTTCGAACAAAAGTCGCCGGCGAAGCACTTTCATAAACACGGGGTTTGGCAGTTGCACGAAAAAAAAACACTTTGTTTATGAGGGTAGTCTGAACAAATCCTTCATGCAAACTGCACCTACTATCAAGAAAAAGGCTGGTTCAACCTTAACGACGAGCGGACGTCTGGGCAGCCGCCCACCTGGGAGGAAGCCGGGTTACGTCCTGTTTTCGCGTTTTGGCCTTGCTACTGCCGTTTGGCATCCCTATTCATCGGTCCGGTTGTACGACACCTGGTGCACATATCGCCTTGGGTCACGGGATTGTTGATAGATTTTTTTTGACGTTCTGGCTGGTTCTCCCGGCCGGGTGATGGTGTTCGGGGGCCGGCTTGGCCGAGAGGTGCCGGGGGTTGGCAGGTCTTGGTGGGCTCCTGGTGTGCCCTCAGCCGTGGTGGGCGGCTGGCTTCTACTCTGCCGGAGGACACTGGATGACTTTTGCGTTTTAGTTGGGGCCCGAGTTTTGGGTTTTGCTACCCAGTGTTCTCTGTGGAGTGGGGCCGGTGCGTGTCACACTGAGGGACTCCTGGGGCTCCCCAATCATCTGCCTATCTGCGTTTTTTTTGCCACATGACATATTAGTTTCTAGTGATTGGCGTCACTTGTTTCGCGATTAGACTTGGCGTTTCACCTTTGCGGGCTTCGCGATTAACCCTTAACCGGGGCACATCCGATCCCACGATTCAGCCCGTCCTCCAAACAAAGATCCAAAAGTGATTCCATGCACCCGCCAAACACCCTCTTTATGAATGAAAAGCGGTTTACACACGACTCACAACTGCTGACGTTCGAACATATCCGGAACAAGTGCTTCACTGACGAATTTTGTTCGAATCACAACGCTATAAATGCTTCACCCACGTACTACAAATACAAATAATCGCCAACAGAACCTAAACACCTAACCTATCCTATCCTATACCTATATATACACAATATGCTAATATATTATAGTATTAATTTATACTTAAGAAAATTCCCGTTTTGAATGAACCGCATGTTAAAATTTATGAATGCGTCTGTGGGGTCGACCGCTGAATGTAATGGACTTGAGTCGAGGACGGGTTGCACGATTGTGGCCGCCTCTAAATCAACAATGACAACAACTATCAAGAAGAAGAAGAAGAATAAGGTGTAAAAGGCAGTTGCACGAAAAAAACGTTGTACAAGGCACGGATATTAATTACAATAATATAAAGAGTGATGGACAAAGGGTAGGGTAACATGAGATATATACGAGTACACTCTGTAGCGCATAAAAAAATACTGAATTTTCTTAAACTACTTCAATCGCTGCACTTCACGAGGGAAGCAGTATGTGCACTTTCCCCTCGGGTTTGTATACATATGAAAACTCTGATATTGGTCACAAATATATTATTGTTTTAAATTACTCGGCATGAAATTTGTTTTAATGTTGAACTATTTTATCAGGTTGAAGGTGATAGGTGCAGTGAGAACACGAGGAAGGGCCGGTACTGGTGAAGCAGACATAGACGCACTTCGTCGGGTTTGTTCCAAGTTCCTCAGCCTTGAGAAGTGAGATAGCAAGAGTCACGGAGTCGGAGTACCACAGTGAAGCGTTGACGAACTTGCAAGAAATGTTTGGAACAGTTGTTGAGCAAGAAATTATTGAGATGATACTTGAATCATGTGGATGGGAATCCAGCGATGTGAAGGAGATGGTACTGGCAATGACAGACCATGGGGACCTTCCTTCTAGTGTGCAGGATGCAGACTCGATCGTTCGTAACTCTCTAACGCAAAGTGATGTGCTATCTGTGGATGGCAGCAGTGTTTATGAAACGGGTTCATCAGGAATATCAAATGCTAATTCTGAGCAGCTGAAAAGCGAATCTTTTAATATGTGCAATAAACCTGTAAGTCAGAAAAGCACAACAAGTAAGATTAACATTTTACCAGAATCTTTGGCCACTGGCACAGTGCCTCGTGTAAGCAGTGGAAGAACCAATATTAATATGGGAGCATATGTTAGTTCAATAACTTACAAGTCAAGAAATGAGACAGAACCTGCATCACCACACAGCAGCCTTGAAAGAATTTATAGTGGGTCATCTTCCAACTCCCTTTCTCCCCCACAGATCTGCATTTGTGGCTGATTTTAAGGTTTAATAGAGAGCATTGTACTTCTAATTGGTGTTTAGCACCAGAATTTATACCTATTGGTTTTAATCCAAATGCTTCAGTGAAGAACAATGGTCTCTGGCATTCAGGAATGAGCTCCAACGCAGTCCAAACCTCCCAGATATCTTCTAAAGTTAAACAAGAAATCAACACCAACAACAAATAATAAAGATGAAATTTTCAGCACAATCTCTCTGGGCGTAAAACTAATGATTCTTATGCGACAACTGCCAGGCTCTGAAAAATCAACATTGGCCGAAGAACTGAAGGGCACGACTGAGTGTCATTCTCTCTACAGATGATTATTTTAATAGCAAATGTGGTAAATATGACTATGATCCTTCTCGGATTGGAGTCGCACATGAGTGGAATTAACAACGAGCACTCCAGGACCTACAGGATGGCAAAACTCCGGTAATAATTGACAAAACCAATTTACAGGCGTGGAAAAGGAAACCGTATGTTGAACTAGGCCTTCAATATGGCTATGAGGTTGACATTTTGGAATCAGATACGACATGGAAGCTTAATCCAGAAGAGCTTGCTAAAAGAAATTCACATGGGGTGCCTGAAAGCAAAACTGATGAGATGAAACTAAGATATGAAAGAGATGTAAATATTGAGCATGTCATTGGTGACCTACAGGGATTCTTAGCACACAAGCACATATCAAGCAAAAACAAAGTCGAGTGGAGACAATTCGAGCAATGATGAAGCAAATGGAGCCCAGTACTCAACTCTAGTGATGATGGTCCCCCATTTTTGCCACTCAACTCACAAGAATGTTTGGTCTTGCTGGCTCTCGGGTGAGAAGTGGAGAGTTGACAGAGGACAAGAGTGTTGTACTTGCTCTGGAAATTTGCCATAGTATTCATAAATACTGGGGTTATACTCTTGACGGTAAATTCAAACATGGAGCAGAGGTTCTTGACATAATTATTCGTGAAGACGAAACCCTTACAAGACCTTTGCAAGAGAAAGAAGATTGTACCAGTTCGGAAAATGAGAGTAAACATGATATATCGAATTATTTTTTCCGAAAAGACCCACCTACTCATTTTAAGGAACTTATGGATCTTAAGCAGGCACTTCAAGAAAGCCAAGGAGACAAATCCTCCACATTTTCCGTTTGTCTCACTCAAAAGCGTCCATATGCGAATCATATTCGTGTTAATCCCAATGCTTCAAGAAACAAACTTACAAGACATGGTTTCAGTTATGAGGATACTGAAGAAAGCCGCCTTGAAGCCGCCGAGCCGGTGCAAATGGTCCAACAATCAAAGCGAAACAGCTTGGCTAACAGCAGAGATGAAAATTGTTTGGACTTACCCTTCATGGGCGTTGCCCAAGCACTGGGTGCAACTCAGGTATTCCTCAAAGAACGACAGCTTGTCCTTGCTGCTCGAGGATGGAAACAAATGCAAGTATCCTTAATTACGGGTCGAGGAGCCCATAGCTCGGGAGTGCGACCCAAATTAAAACAAACTATTAAAAAATTTCTTCTGGAAAATAATTTTTTGTTTCACGAAGTAAACAGTGGAATGTTTACTGTTTCGTTAAAGTCATAGGTTTATTATAAAGTTA